TGTGCCCCTTACCCCTTATGTCCACCCCCAACCCCTTTCCCCTCTGGTATCCACTAATCTGTTCTCTTTGTCCGTGTGTTAGTTTGTCTTCCACATATGAGTGAAATCATGTGGTGTTTTTCTCTCTCTGTCTGGCTTATTTAGCTTAACATAGTACCCTCAAAGTCCTTCCATGTTGTAAATGGAACGATTTTGTCTTTTTTATGGCTGAGTAGTATTCCATTGTATGTATATACCACATCTTCTTTATCCGTTCATCAGTTGGTGGGCACTTGGTTGCTTCCATGTCTTGGCTATTGTGAATAATGCTGCAGTGAACATAGGGGTGCATAAGTTTCTTTGAATTGTTGATTTCAAGTTCTTTGGATAGATACCCAGTAGTGGGATAGCTGAGTTGTATGGTATTTCTATTTTTAATTTTTTGAGAGGTCTCCATACTGTTTTCCATAGTGGCTGCACCAGTTTGCATTCCCACCAGTAGTGTATGAGGGTTCCCTTTTCTCCACATCCTCTCCAACATTTGTTATTTTTTGTCTTGGTGATTATAGCCATTCTAATGGGTGTAAGGTGATATCTCATTGTAGTTTTGATTTACATTTCCCTGATGATTGGTGATGTTGAACATTTTTTCATGTGCCTATTGGCCATCTGTCTATCTTCTATAGAAAAATGTCTCTTCATATCCTCTGCCCATTTTTTGATTAGATTGTTTGATTTTTTGTTGTTGAGTTGTGAGTTCTTTATATATTTTCGAGGTTAACTCCTTGTCAGATATATGATTTTCAAATATTTTCTCCCAGTTGGTGGGTTGTCTTTTTGTTTTATTCCTCGTTTCCTTTGCCTTGCAGAAGCTCTTTAGTCTGATGTAGTCCCATTTGTTTATTTTGTTTGTTTGTTTTCCTTGTCTGAGTAGACATGGTATTCGAAAAGATCCTTCTAAGGTCAATGTCAAAGAATGTACTGCCTATATTTTCTTCTAGGAGTTTTATGGCTTTGTGTCTTACCTTCCAGTCTTTAATCCATTTTGAGTTAATATTTGTATATGGTAAAAGATAATGGTCTACTTCCATTCTTTTGCATGTGGCTGTCCAGTTTCCCCAACACCATTTATTGAAGGGACTTTCCTTTCTCCATTGTATGTTCTTGGCTCCTTTGTTGAAGATTAGCTGTGCATAGAGGTGCAGTTTTATTTCTGGGCTTTTAATTCTGTTCTATTGATCTACGTGTCTGTTTTTGTACCAGTACCATGCTGTTTTGATTACTGTATCTTTGTAGTATATTTTGAAGTCAGGGATTCTGATGCCTCCAGCTTTGTTCTTTTTCTCAGAATTGCTTTAGCTATTCAGGGTCTCTTGTTGCCCCATATGAATTTTAGGATTCTTTGTTTTATTTCAGTGAAGAATGTCATTGGGATTCTGATTGGGATTGCGTTGAATCTGTAGATTGCTTTAGGTAATATGGTCATTTTAACTATGTTTCTTTTTCCGATCCATGAGCATGGAATATCTTTCCATTTCTTTGTGTCATCATTGATTTCTTTCAATAATGTCTTGTAGTTTTCGTTGTATAGGTCTTTCACCTCCTTGGTTAAATTTATTCCTAGATATTTTATTCTTTTTGTTGTGATTGTAAATGGGATTGTATTCTCGAGTTCTTTTTCTGTTAGTTTGTTGTTAGAGTATAGAAATTCAACTGACTTTTGTAAGTTGATTTTGTACCCTGCAACTTTGCTGTAGTTGTTGATTATTTCTAATAGTTTTCTGATGCATTCTTCAGAGTTTTCTCTATAGAATCATGTTGTTGGCAAACAGTGAGAGTTTCACTTCTGCCTTGCCAATTTGGATACATTTTATTTCTTTTTCTTGCTTAATTGCTCTGGCCAAACCCTCAAGTACTATGTTGAATAGGAGTGGCAGAGAGTGGGCACCCTTATCTTGTTCCTGTTCTCAGAGGGATGGCTTTTAGTTTATCACCATGGAGTATGATGTTGTCTATGGGTTTGTCATATATGGCCTTTGTTATGTCGAGGTACTTTCCTTCTATACCCATTTTATTGAGAATTTTTATCATAAGTGGATGTTGGATCTTGTCAGATGCTTTCTCTGCATCTATTGAGATGATCACCTGGTTTTTCTTCCTAATTTTGTTAATGTGGTGGATCACATTGATTGATTTGCAGATGTCGAACCATCCCTGCGTCCCTGTTATAAATCCCATTTAATCATGGTGTATGATCCTTTTAATGTATTGCTGTATTCGATTTGCCAATATTTTGTTGTGGATTTTTGCATCTATGTTCATCAGCAATATTGGCCTATAATTTTCCCTCTTTGTGTTGTGCTTGTCTGACTTTGGGATCAGGGTGATGTTGGCCTAGTAGAATGAGTTAGGAAGTGTTCCGTCTTCTTCAGTTGTTTGGAATAGTTTGAGAAGGATACGTATTAAATCTTCTTTGAATGGTAGAGCTCTCCAGAGAAGCCATCTGGTCCTGGAGTTTTATTTTTGGGGAGGTTTTTGATTACTGTTTCAACCTCTTTACTTGTGATTGGTCTGTTCAGATTCTCTATTGCTTCTTGATTCCTTTTTGGAATCAGTCTTCAAGATTGTCCAATTTGTTGGCATATATAGTTTTTCATAGTAGTCTTTTATAATCCTTTGTATTTCTGTGGTATTTGTTGTAATTTCTCCTCTTTCATTTCTAATTTTATTTATTTGAGCCTCCTATCTTTTTTTCTTAGTGAGTCTAGCTAAAGGTTTGTCAATTCTGTTTATCTTCTCAGAGAACCAGCTCTTAGTTTCATTGATCCTTTCTACTGTTTTTTTAGTTTCAATATCATTTATTTCTGCTCTAATTTTTATTATTTTCCTCCTTCTGCTGACTTTGGGCTTTGTTCCTCTTTTTCTGGTTCTGTTAGGTGTAGTTTAAGATTACTTATTTGAGATGTTTCTTGTTTCTTTTTTTTTTTTTTTTTTTTTTAAAGATTTTTTTTTTTTTTTTTTTTGCCCCCAAAGCCCCAGTAGATAGTTGTATGTCATAGGTTCACATCCTTCTAGTTGCTGTACGTGGGACCCGGCCTCGTGTTGGAGGGAGAAGTGGTGCCTCGGGGCGCTCCCGGGATCCGAACCCGGGTCGCCAGCATCAGAGCGCGCGCACTTAACCGCCAAGCCACAGAGCCGGCCCTCTTGTTTCTTGATATAGGCATTTATCACTATGAACTTCCCTTTTAGAACTGCTTTTGGTGCATCTTATAAGTTTTGGTACATTGTGTTTCCATTTTCATTTGTCTCAAGGAATTTTTTGATTTCTTTTTTGATTTCTTCTTTGATCCATTGGTTGTTCAGTTTGTTAATCTGCTTTGTTTTATTATTTTCTTGAACCTGTTTTATCCTCAGAACAATTTTCATAACCCATATTCCTTCTCAAGTTACTATGCAGGTTACATCCTTCTTTTTCTCTTTTAGTTTTCTTCAACAGTTAATACTTGATACTTCTACTTCTTTGCCTTATAATTCATTCCTGAACCCATTTCATTCTATATTCAGCTACTTTTTGGAAGCTCACCAGTGGGTTTAGAATGCCAGTCATTTGTAGTGAAAAGAGTTCAGAATTTGGAGTTAGAATTAAAAGGTTAAAGTGCTCATTTTTCTCACTTACTCACTGTACAACTCTAGAAAAATTGTATATCTTTACTCCTCAAAATGTGGTCTCAGGACTCATAGTGTTGCGTATCACCAGGGAACTTATTAGAAATGCAGAATTTCAGATCCCACCCCAGACCTACTCAATCAGAATCTGCAAGTTAACAAGATTTTCACATTGAGAAGCAATGTTATGTTGTCATCTTTGAAACTTAATTTCCCTATATGTAAAATATAGGTAATATTTGTTGTATATATCAACCGTCTTACCACCATCTGACATACCATATGTTTTACCAATTTATTTATTGTCTGCCTACTCCTATTAGAATGTAGGCTTTGTGAGGCAGAATTAGAATGTAAGCTTTGTCTTTTTGTTTATTGCTCTGTTTCCTATATCTAGAACAGTGACTGGCATATAGTAAACATTCATTTTTTGAATGAACAAATGAATGCATTACTTGTCAAATCTTTTCCTTGCTATTACAGTCATTTACTTTTCACTGCCATTTAGCACTACTTTCATTAGAATTTCTGTATTAGATGGTACAAATGTAGAACATTTCCATTGTTGCAGAAAGTTCTGTTAGTGTTGCTTACACTTTTGCATTCCCTTCCCAGCCGTCTTGAATCTGTATTTCTGCAGTACAGTTCTTATCAAATCTGTCAACAACCCTCCCCGCCATATAGATTAAGTTCAAACTCCTTAGTGTAAGCTTTAGTGTCTTTACAGTTTCATATAATTAAAAATATATATCTTATTCAGGGTACATTTATTAGGAGAGTCAGTTAAACCCACTGCATGCATAGCATTCATTTGGGCCATATTTCATTGTCTTTGTAGGACTTGGGGGAAAGGGAAACCTATGAAAATTAGGTGATGATTCTTTGCTTTGCCATGCAATAAAGAATTTTGTCTCTGATTGAGGAGTCGCATGTCTTCTGCTAGCATACATGACACAATAACAGGCTAACTTATTAGCTTATAAGTAGGGTGAAATCAAATCTCAGAGTAGACAGCATTTCCCATCACATTGAAAAGGCTTTAAAAATCCAAATTTTAAGATTCACATAATATTCCATCAAATGGATATACTGCTATTTTAAACCATTACTCTATTGTTGAATATTTAAATTATTTCCACATTAGTTTGCTGTTATAAATGGCTTTGTATTAATATGGTTGTGTGTAAATATTTATCTCCTTTGATGACTACGTCCTTAGGATTCCTTTCTAGAAGCGTAAAGGCCCAAGGAAGGAAAGCTTGCTTTATTTTTTTAGTGCATAAAAGGAATATTTTTTTTAATTCAAAATCTATGTATATATATACTAACAATATGAACAAATCTCTTTTTCTTAGGAGATACTTCTAAAGGAGGCATAGCTGAAATTACTCAATCCAGCTTGACACCAGGCATTGCTGCCACTCCTGGAGATTCAGACATTGGATCTCATTTATCCTTGTCCCCTGAGGACTTTCCTCAGTTGGCTGTAAGGTCTTTTCAGGAGAATACTGTTGGTCAACATATTGATTCTCTCAACCGACAGGCATTGGCAGATAGTCATCTAACTGAAGAGACTCTAAAAGTTTTAACTGTTCCTGAACTAGCTGACCAGAAGACTGAGATATCAACAGTACCCTCCAGTTCCTACTCAGAAAGAGGGAAGTCTAATAGTTTCTACCCACAGGGCTTACCAAACAGTCATCTAACTGAAGAGGCTCTGAAAGTTTCAGTTGTTGCTGGACCTGCTGACCAGAAGACTGGCATACTGACAGTCCCTCCCAGTTCCTACTCACTGAGAGAGAAGCCCAGTATTTTCTACCAACAGGCATTGTCAGACAGTCATCTAACTGAAGAGGCTCTAAAAGTTTCAGCTGTTCCTGGATCTGCTGACCAGAAGACTAAGAAAACAACAGTAGAGAAACATGTTATTTTCTCCCAGCAACAGTTGCCAGACAGTTCTCTAACTGAAGAGGCTCTGAAAGTTTCAGTTGTTCCTGGACCAGTTGATCAAAAGAGTAGGATACTAATAGTACCTTCAAGTTTCTACTCCCTTGGAGAGAAGCCTGGTATTTTCTACCAGCAAGCTTTGCCAGACAGTCATCTAGCTGAAGAAGCCCTGAAAGTTTCAGCTTCTCCTGAACCAGCTGACCAGAAGACTGGGATACCAGCAGTAACCTCTACTTCTTACTCACATAGAGAGAAGCCCAGTATTTTCTATCAACAAGAGTTGCCAGACAGTCATCTAACTGAACAGGCTCAGAAAGTTTCAGCTGTTTCTGGATTAGCTGAGCAGAAGAAGACTGGGGCACCAATAGTAACCTCTACTTCTTATTTACGTGGAGAGAAGCCCCATATTTTCTATCAACAGACATTGCCAGACAATCATCTAACTGAACAGGCTCAGAAAGTTTCAACTGTTCCTGGATTTGCCGAGCAGAAGACTGGGATACGAACAGTAACCTCTGCTTCTTATTCACATAGAGAGAAGCCCAGTATATATCAACAGGAGTTGCCTGACAGTCATCTAACTGAACAGGCTCAGAAAGTTTCAACTGTTCCTGAATTTGCTGAGCAGAAGACTGGGGCACCAACAGTAACCTCTACTTCTTACTCACCTGGAGAGAAGCCCCGAATTTTCTATCAACAGACATTGCCAGATAGTCATCTAACTGAACGGGCTCAGAAAGTTTCAGCTGTTTCTGGATTTGCTGAGCAGAAGACTGAGGCACCAATAGTAACCTCTACTTCTTACTCACCTGGAGAGAAGCCCCATATTTTTTACCAACAAGAGTTGCCAGACAGTCACCTAACTGAACAGGGTCAGAAAGTTTCAGCTGTTCCTGGGTTTGGTGAGCAGAAGACTGGGACACCAACAGTAACCTCTACTTCTTATTCACATAGAGAAAAGCCCAGTATATACCAACAGGAGTTGCCAGACAGTCATCTAACTGAACGGGCTCAGAATGTTCCAGCTGTTCCTGGATCAGCTCACCAGAAGACTGGGATACCAATAGCACCCCCTACTTCCTACTCCTGTAGAGGGAAGACCAGTATTTTCTATCAGCAGGAGTTGCCAGACAGTTGTCTAACTGAGCAGGCTCAGAAAATTTCAGCTATTCCTGGACAAATTGACCAGAACACTGGGATACAAACAGTACCCTTTAGTTCCTACTCACACACAGAGAAGCCCATTATTTTTTACCAGCAGGAGTTACCAGATAGTCATCTAACTAAAGAGGCTCTAAAAGTTTCAGCTGTTCCTGGACCAGCTGATCCCAACACTGGATTACCAACAGGGTCCTCTAGGTCCTACTCATTTGGAGAGAAGCCCAGTATTTTCTCCCAGCAGGCCTTACCAGATAGTCATCTAAGTGAAGAGGCTCTCAAAGTTTCATCTGCTTCTAAACCAGGTGACCAGAAGACTGGTGTAGTAACGGTACCTTCTAGTTCCTACTCACCTAGAGAGAAGCCCAGTATTTTCTACCAACAGGCGTTGCCAGGCAGTAATGTACCTGAAGAGGTTCTGAAAGTTTCAGTTGTTGCTCCTGGAGCAGCTGAAAAAAAGAGTGGGTCACCATCAGAAGCCTCTAGTTTCTACTCAGAGAGAGAGAAGTCCAGTGTTTTCTACCAACAGGAATTGCCAGACAGTCATCTAACTGAAGAGGCTCAGAAAGTTTCAGCTGTTTCTGGACCAGCTGACCAGAAGACTAGGATACCTACAGTAACCTCTACTTCTTACTCACATAGAGAGAACCCCTTTATTTTTTACCCACAGGGATTGCCAGACAGTCATCCACCTGAAGAGGCTCTGAAAATTTCTGCTGTTTCTGGACCAGCTGACCAGAAGACTGGATTGCCATCAGAGCCTTCTAGTTCCTACTCACATAGAGAGAAGCCCATTATTTTCTACCCACAGGGCTTGACAGACAGTCGTATAGCTGAAGAGGCTCTGAAAGTTTCAGCTGTTTCTGGACCAGCTGACCAGAAGACTGGGTTGCCATCAGAGCCTTCTAGTTCCTACTCACATAGAGAGAAGCCCATTATTTTCTACCCACAGGGCTTG